GTGTGTGTGTGTGTGTGTGTGTGTGTGTGTGTGTGTGTGTGTGTGTGTGTGTGTGTGTGTGTGTGTGTGTGTGTGTGTGTGTGTGTGTGTGTGTAATTGACGTTTTTTGAGTGAATTTTTTTAAACATTTTTATATTATTAATTTTAAATATAGTTGCTAAACAAAATAATTTTTTTTGTTTTTATATATACGTTTTGCATCAAATCACCTCTTCTTCAAAAATTAACAGAATAAAATATTTGAGATCTCAAATAAAAATCAAAATATTCAAAGTATACTTATGTAGTTTCGAAAGAAACGTGGTCTTTTGGACAATTCAATATGGCAGTTCGAATATGATTACTATAAAGATTTCAAGGTCATTGATTACGAATTTGGAGACAGAATTACAAAATTCAAAATGGCGGATTCAAAATGGTCGAATCTACATAAGGCGTGAGTATCACAATTGTTGAGTCTAATATTATATCGAGTTTATTATTCTACAATGATCATTGGTTCAACGATATAATTTCAAAAATTCAAAAAATCATTTTTCTTTTTGAGTGGGCAAAAAAAATTTAACATCAAGTTTTTCTATTGTAACAAAAAGAAACACATAGAAACTCAAAAATCTCTTACAAAAAAAGTTTCTGAAACTCGCAAGTTATGAAAATCTAAAATGGACATGCTTGTCTTTGTTAGTAAAGGAAAAAATTGCAAGTAAAACGATGGTGTCAAACCAATGATCATTGTAGAGTATTAAACTCGACATAATATTAGACTCGACAACAATTATAATACACTTTATGCTGATTCTAGATCCGATTATTTTGAATTCGCTGTTTTGAATTTTATGATTCTATCTCTAGTCGTAATCGACAACTTTGAAAACCTTATAGTCATCATAATCTTATAATCATTTTCAAGCCAATTTGTCAAGTTTTCGTATTTTAATCGAAAATATTATAAGATTATTCATAACTTTTAAGACTTTCAGACGACATACTTAAGCCGCCATATTGAATTTTCCAAAAGACTATATTCCATTCAAAATTGCATAAGTATACGAACATTGTGAGTTTTTTTCAAAACTGAAACGTTTCTTCTATTGCATTAATTTTTGGAAGAAGAGATGGCCCACTTGACTATTATTTTAGCAACTATCTTTAAAATTAATAATATATAAAAATTCACGTAAAAAAAGACTGATTTCAAACATAAATTAATTTTCCAATTTTTCAATTTTTCAATTTGTAATGTATATTATTATAAGCAATATAAATATATAAGTAAGTAAGTTTGAAAATATTATTATATATTTATTTATTTTCCTAAAAATAAATCTCGTACCAAATATAGATGTCAATATTGATGTCTAAAAATGAATTTTATACAATTATATAGGATCCAGTACCAGTGGAATCATGGACCGGTGACAAAGACGCTTCGGCGTATGGTAACATCTCAGTTCAACTAAACCCTTTTACACGTGAAGTTATGGGCGATGAGGATTGTCTATATTTAAATGTGTACACTACGAAGCTCGAGTCTTCGAAGAAACGCTCAGTAATGGTATGGATACATGGCGGTGCCTTTTCCATGGGTTCCGGTGATGCAACTTTCCATGCTCCCGATTATATCATACAAAAGGATGTAGTATTAGTTACTTTGAATTATAGACTAGGCGTTTTAGGTACGTTACTCATACTCATTTCAATATAATATCATCATACGTCATTTACATCTGGTATTTCATGCGTCGATAAAGTTATTATCTAGACTTAATTTCTTTTTAAATAACTTGAATACGTACACATTTTTATAGATAACCCATTATGGAAGTTAATCATTTCAAGTCAAACGTAGATTTATAAAAGAGTTAGTTTCACATCATAATACATGTTCATAATATGTTTAAAATTTGTTTTTAATTTATTATACTTTCTGCATATAAAGTTATTTATATTTTGTACACGTATTGTACACGTACACGTATTTCACAAACGTTCAGTAAATTATGATGTGATTTATTTTTAATATGGATAAATTGACTTTTTCTAAAAAAAAAAATTAAGGTTTCCTGAATCTCTACGATGAAGTGGCAACTGGTAATCAAGGTCTGAAGGATGTGATCTTGGCGTTACGATGGATTCAGAAAAATATATCAGTATTTGGAGGAGATCCAGAAAACGTGACTATCTTTGGCGGAAGTGCTGGCGGAGCTATTGTACATTATTTAACTTTGTCCCCCTTAGCCAAAGGTATTTTATCAATACAAACTTAATGACACACGCGCGCGCGCGCACACACAACACACACACACACACACACACACACACACACAATTAATT